TGACCATACTTTCTTCTGTTAATATACTTGCTTTTGTATTACATACAAATCCACACACAGCGTCGGAAAAGTCGGAAGTCGGATAAATTTTGGTATGGTAGTAGTTACCAGCTTCGCCGTGGCACCGGCGTTGTCTGCAGCCGCCGCCCAATATACTACTTTTAACTACAGCAACATGTCTGTTTTTCCGTTCGCGGCTAGGGTTAAAAGGTTACGGAAATCACGACATTCTATTGGCTGCCCAGCCCGGCGGCCACCATTGGGTTTAAAACCTGTCAGAGCTGACGGCCCCATACGCCCACCCAGCGCGAATATTCGTTCTCATAGTTAACTTCGGCGTGGTAGACATAATACTTTGGAGTAGCATAGTTTCTGATATTTTCCCCGCATACCCTAGTATTGGAACTTGCTGTGAATTCCATCCAAAGGACGGTAGTAGCGTGATGTTCGACAGAAGATGACTCTGCAGTAAGACCTCGCTACAAAGGTACGTACCTTTGTCTTCGAGTTGGTTGCGGATGACGAATCATTCGTTCACGACATAGAACGCATAAAAGCTGCCGTCAACTCGGACAACTTCAGCATCTGCTGACATTCTTCATCAAAATCGTTCGAGTCCAGCCAACGCTCGAATGCACTCCTCAAGCCGCCATTCCAATCATTGTCAATGATCGAAAACCACGTCGTGTCGCGGTTGCGACCCTTATAAATAGTGGCTTGACGAAACAAGCCTTCGTACGTGAACCCGAGTCTAGGATTTCGTGATGGGAAGTTGCAGCTGTCACACTTCCACTCAAAGCGCCTGTACCCGAGCTGGAAGGCGTTGGCTGCCAATAGAGTTTTCCTCTGTCTTTTAAGCAAAGCAACATAATCTCAACCAAATATTGTAGAAATTATTTGCACGGTTTAGGACCATATTTTGGTATAGATTTCGTAAAAAGTTCCACACAATAAATGGGAGAGATTTCTATTTATTATATGAGGAAGTTCTTAAGAGAGTGGTCGCTAGCGTAACATCGCGTGTACGAACTGAGCCGTAAGTTCAGACAACCTTAACTTCTGCTGGCCATCTGCATCAAAATTGCTTCGCTCCAACCATTTCTCAAAGGCCTTTTTTAGCCCCCCCCCCCCCCCCTATTCCAGTCGACGTCAATGATGGAGAACCAAGAGGTGTCGCGGTTGCGCCTCTTGTACACGACGAGTTGGAGGAATGTGCCTTCGTACGTAAAGTCAAGTCGTGCGGCAGCGTTGCGTGATGGTTGGTTGAGGCTATCGCACTTCCACTCGTAGCGTCGGTAGCCGAGCTTAAAGCGTTGTCAGCAATCAGATACATTGTAGTGCATGCAACATTAGACCCAGCCAGCTCCAGCTATAAGTTGAAGCTGCAGACTACAGATCTCAGGAACAATCAACAATGCTGTTTACACGTTCGTCATCCTGGATGACAGGATCCCCGTAACGCCACACGTGATGACAGGCCTCGCGTCCAACCACTGCGGCTGCAGCGCAGCTACTACAACCACTACCATGTAGACTAGTAGCTCTCACTTCGCTATTTACTATCCAATACACCAACGGCTAAAACTTCCTGGGAGAACTGCCGGCTCCCCATCGTGTGTTTTCAGTTCCTGATTCACCACAAAAAATTCTTTAGCGGTGCTTTCGCTACTACACGACCATGACCAAGACGCGATCGACCTCGACTAACGCAGCGGACGACGACGGCCGCGACGCGATGCCAATCTTCACGCCGGTGCTACCACCACGCCTCTAGAGTACTTCTCATGCTTCGCTCGTCCAATGGCGCAAAGAACGCCGCGAGTATGAGAAGACCGTCCGTAACCGTGCCAAGGGCGGTGCCGAGGACAAAATCGTCCCCATTAGGACGACTTTCGACGAGGGTCTGCCTCGGATATGGTGTCGCCTACGTTGGCAGATTTCGATCGATGATGTCACGGATTAAGGGATCTTCACCGAGATTGACACGATCATCTCCAGTGTCAAGAACAACAACGTTCTTGATGGGGATGATGAAATGCGTGAAATGCTGCGCATGGATCTATCTGAAAGCGATGTGAGTGAGCGAATTATACAGTATTTCAAGCGCTGCCACGACATCATCGATGACCATGGCGGGCAGCAATTCTTTAGTGGGGACGATGGTAAACAACAGCTGTGCCGTGTCCTCATTGCCTCGTTAGAGCCTCGAGCTCTGTGAGAAGAAGTGGAACGTACAGTACGTTTCTAGGGTCGAGCTGTAAAATCCGACGAGGTTATCCTCCATCACTTAGTGTTGGAAAAGGCGCTCGACCAAGAAAAAACTACCAGAACCAACGACGCACCAAGCGCGATCGGAGTGATGGTGATTCGGGACGTGCGCCAAAGCGCGGACCGAGTAAATCTTCTTCCAAGAAACCCCGCCTAACCACTGAACGGAGCACTTCGAGCTCCAAACTACCTACGAAGAAGACATTTTCGGAACGAGCTCAAGTGCCACCCACTCCTTGTCCACATTGTGATGAGATGCACTGGTTGTCAGAGTGCCCAACGGCCGCTGATGATTAGAAAGTTGAAATCCGTCGTAGCTCTGCGAACAAAGAGCTAACGACGGAAATAAACGTGTGGTGGCAAGAATGAAGCGACTTCGTGAGTGTATCCCATCTCAAGAGAAGACTGTTCTTTTGAACGAAGAGGTTGTTGTTCCGTACTGTGCGGATGCTGGTGCGGACAGGACCGCCAAAAGCAAGCAACACGTGACCCAACTAATTCGTAGCGACACATCTATTAAGGTGACTCCACTCGATACTCCAATAGTGCACGTAGCTGTAGGCGACCATGAGGTCACTTCCACGCACTTCGTGCGACTGCGGCTGCGACTCAACACTGCTGCCGGACCAGTCGGCTTGCAGGAACCTGTTGATTGTCTGATAATTGAATGTGACGAACCCGAGTTCATCCTCAGTCAGGATGTTCTCAAATCGCTGGGGATCGACATCGACCAACAATTAGAGCAACTCGCAGGACGAGATGAAGGTGCAGACGAAAGTGAAGAAGATCTACAAGACGACCTACCGTCCCTCTCGCTGAGCTCAACCGTTCAAGATGCTCTTGAACGGATGGTTTCCTCAGCACTCGAGCAAGGATTCCCGAGCCACCTCGAGCAGCCGCTCCGGGCTATTGTGTTCAAGCACGACATATGGCGCCTAGAGCTAGGAAACGATCCTCCTGCCAATGTCGAGGCACTACGGATCCGACTCAAGGATGGAGCACGTGCTGTCGAGAGCAAGCCGCGGCCTTACCCACCAGCGGTACGTGCGTTCTTGCACGAGTTTAACGATAAACTTGTTGAACTTGGGTGGGTGTACGAAAACCCAGGCAGCCGCTGGGCTAGTTCAGTACTCCAGGTGCGCAAGCAAGGCGTGACCGGCCCTGAGTACAGACAAACATGCGACTACCGTCTAGTAAACGACCTCACCGAGGCACTCATTAGCACGATGCCTCATATGGCAACACTACTCGAGCACACTCGAGGCAAGAAACACTTCGGTTTGTTTGACCTATTGAAGGGCTTCTGGCAGCTACCTCTAGAGGAATCTAGCTAAGAATTCCTGGCGTACATAACTGACAACAAAATATACACTCCTCGTCGAGTTCCTCAGGGATGCTGTGATGCCGCAGTGCATTTCCAGCAGACGATGGAGCAGTGCTTCCAGTCGCTATTGTACCATTGCTTAGTTGTTTGGATCGATGATCTACTTCTATTTGCTGACGACGTAGACACCTACGTTTCGAAGTTAGAGAAATTCTTCGACTTGATTGCGGCTTTCAGGCTCAAGCTCAGTGCCAAAAAGAGCAGAATCTACCAACAATCGGTAAAGTGGTGTGGGCGTATCATCACATCTGATGGTATCGCTCACGACCCAGCACGCACCAATGCTTTACGTAGCATGCCATATCCAACGACCGCAGACCAACTACAGCAATTCTTATGTGCTGCCAATTGGATGCGCGAGTCGATGGCGGACTACGCTCGAACAGCTGACCCGCTGCAAAGCGACTTGATGCCGCGCTCAAAGGCAGCAAGCGCACGAAACGTGTTGCAGCCGGCATATCTATTGAATTGACGGACACTGAGCGTACTGCATACGACAAGATGAAGCAACTGCCCTCCACTTCAGCTACACTAGCACTACCCGACGACGACGCTACTACTGTCGTTTGCTCAGACGCATCCGATTGTGGTTGGTCGGTCATTATCACCCAGGTGAAGGACTTTGATCCTCGGAAACCAGTTACTACACAACAACACAAATTGCTCACGTGCCTCAGTGGTACGTTTAAAGGCTCACAGCTTAACTGGACTGTGATTGAAAAGGAAGCATACTAGCTTGACTACCTACTAATGCGGGTGCGACCATTCCGCCTCTACTGCGACCATCGTAACTTAATCCACGTCTTCGCTCCACATACGAGTATGAAGAAGCGCATTAGAGGCAAGTTGCTTCGATGGGCATTGAAGCTGATGCCCTACCGTTATATCATCGAGCATGTCGATGGTGTAGCAAATGTGTGGGCAGATATGCTCTCTCGGTGGGCAGGGCAATCAATGACTACAGTGAAACTGAAGCGATTTACCAAGAAGAGAAGCAAGAAGCAGAAGAACCCGACCAAGCCACATACAAGACAGATTCTTCGACCCCCTGGACGACGCTGAATTCGTCTGGCCATCACTGGACGAGATCCGAAGCGTCCGGCGACAGTACGAAGCACCTGTGGGGTCGACGCAAAACACAGACAAGGTTCTCAGAGTTGACCAGAGAATTTGGATTCCTACAGCATGTACTGAGCTCACACAGCGACTCTGTATCATTGCTCACTGCGGACCCCAGGGTCACCGCGGGGAACAAGCAATGGCTAATCACCTACGACGGTGTTCCACATACCAAATCTCAGAGGTGTCGTACACGCTTTCATAGCGACCTGTCTACTGTGCCCACACGTCAAAGGTAGCCAAATCGTTCACCGGCCATGGAGCGAGTGATGAACGAAACGGAGGCCTCCATTGGGATTTTTTTGTCCATGGGCGAATCGTTTGGTGCTAGTAAATATATGCTAGTACTAAAAGACCATGCCACACATTTCTGTGAGCTGGTGGTCTGTGACTCAGCCGACAGTGCTGTAGCCACAGCCGCTCTGCTGGACTGGCACAGCCGTTTCGGTATACCTCCTCAATGGGTCAGTGACAACGATAGTCATTTTAAAAACGAAGTCACCAGCAGACTTTTACCCTGGCTTATAGTCCATGGATCAACGGATCAGTAGAGCGCCTCAATCGCGATATCCTACAGGTCTTCCGTGCAATGATCCTTGAGTAAAAAATCTCTACAAAGGATCGGGTTTACCGTTCCGTTGGCGTTTCGACCTGCCTGCCGTTCTGCCCACAAGACATACTCCTGCATGTACTTGTTCACCACCTTGCTGTCCTTGTTCCTCAGCGGATGCACAGTGACAAAACGCGAATAACCATCCATTATCACCAACACAGCCTCATATTGAGTTGCATTGTACTTGCCTGGAAACAAAAGATCTGTATACACTACTTGGTTGGGCCTCTTCAGTCCACGATCCAGCTTCTTCCTGTGTGGTATCATCTTCTGTTTTCCAATATGACAAGCATCGCACGTATCTTGCTGTCGCTGCGTCAACATCATTCCCTGCACCAGCTCCTTGTCGACCATAGTCTTCAAATACTGCGGGCAGATATGACACAGTCTCTCATGCCAAAGCTGCAGCGAACCAACACCTTGAGCCATAGTGTGATTACACAAATGCTGCTTCTTCTGGGATCACTCTTGCTCTCTGGGTCGGATTCGCTACCTGGAATCCCCAAGTTGCATCCTACAGCGTCGCAACAGCCACAGTCCTTCCCTCTCTCAAGATGTGAAATTTCTCGTTTCATTATCGAGTTCCAGGGTATAACCCTGCTCAAAGGCTAAACCCGGAGAAAACAAGCCATACTCAGCGTCCAAAATATATAGTACTCCATTGAGATAGCTCACTATTTGTTCTGCATTAACCTCTGTCGTAAATGCTACTGTTCCCATTCCAGCTATGCGGGAAGCAATTGTAGATGTAACTCCTCGGATATGTTGCAACTGCTCCGAGTCTGCCGTGTACGACACGAATTCAGCGAAATTCCCCGTGACGTGCCAGTTGGAAGCCGTATTCAGATACCGCCACCCGCCATTAGATCGTCCAGCTTCTTGATCACTGTCCTCCAGATGTGCCTCAACACTGTCTGCCTCAGCCTCACGTGCTGGGTCTTCGTCACTCACTACTTTGTCGTCGCTCACAATTCCAATATCATGTGCATCATCAGTGTGAAGGTCTTGACCTTCGACATGATCTTCAGCTTCTCGAACTGCCTCCCCATGCACAGATACATCCACTCCATGTGCTCCACCGTGTTCCCGAGGGACGTCATGTACTTCATGAGGCTGTGCAACCCCAGCTACAACACCCTCGTCCAGCTCATGGTTCATCTGCACTTGTCCAGTGGTTTCCTGCCGTAGCGTGCAGTTCCCGCGTGGCTTGCGCTTCTGTTCAGCGTCATCAGCCTTCTCCTGCACCTTCGACTTGTCAGGGCAATTTGACCGTATGTGATCTTCACTGCCACAAGAATAGCATTTCCGTACTTTCTTGGATCCACCAGTCTTGTCCTCCTGAGAGCCTCATTTGCCCTCACTGCCTTTGCAATGTCCTCCTCGCTGGTTACTCTCTTCTCACCGCGCTTGCCCCGGAACTCTTTTTGCCGAGCAGTCGCTGCAAGAATCAGCTCTCGAACCTTCTTAGGTGAGTATATACTTGGATCTGCACCATAGTATATTGAGGACTTCAGATTTTCAAACTCAGTTTGATCAGGCAAACTCTGCAGTAGCATGTCCACCATCGTGGTGTCCGCAACCGTATGATTTAAGTCGGCCAACTCAGTCTTGAGGTTAAACATCTTGCAAAGATGAAGGTTGGCGTCACCTCCAGGGGCGAGCTTCATGCTCCAAAGCTCGTTCTCTACGCGACGGATCGTGTACGCCTTAATGGCTTCACTCTGCTTTCCTTCGTATAAGTTGCAGAGCTCACTCCACATTTCCGATCCGGCCTTCTTGTCACGTATCTGATGCAGGACGTCTGCCGGTACCGAAGTACCAATCAAGCGCATGATCTTCAGCTGCTTCTTCTCGAACTCCTCTTTCTTCTCTGCACTTGCAGTAGTCAGCATCGCCTTGGTCAAATCACCAACCGCGATGTCCTTGAGGTCTTGTTCCTTGAAGACATGCATCAGCGCCCACTTGTACGTCTGCCAATCTTTGCCGTTCCAGTTTTTCAGCACTCCTTCACTTGAATACTTCAGTGGCTTCGTCTTTGGGCTCATAACCCTATTGGAACTCCGTTCCTAGTCAAGCAACACTTCGGACTCGTGAAGAAATATGAAGACTGACTTATTTAAGTGCTAGTCCTGCTCTTCCGGAGCTACTACCAACACTCACGGGTTCAACCCCGCTCCCGTACAATGACCTGGCCCAACTGATTCTCATCTCATGTGTCCATGTCCCGTTGTGCCTGGCCTCCAATATGAATTCCAACAGTTCTGGTTCAGGAACGTACCTGGCTCAAGTGCTCTAGCTCCTCTGCAGTGTATCGGTGTCCTCCGTATCCTCACGGAGGCGGGTACTGTGCGCTGATCTTCGTGGAAAGATGCTCTTTCCTCGCGTTTCTTCAAAAATATTTTCGCCCTTTCACAATAAATAGGTTCCACCTCAAAAAATACTGGTACGGCACCTATTTCTTTTGCCGATTTAAAAATCGGTAAATTGCCACCTCTTCTCCCTCCGTGCAACATTTACGAAAAAAAATAGGTTAAAAAAACTAGATCGGTTTTCTATTTGGACATCACTCTTATGGGCTATGAGGTCCCTGTTTCGGGAAATACCCTCTGTGCTATTCTCTCATCCGAAATTATCATAAGCTTATGTGCAGATTTGCTTGGAGATCTCGGAAATATACATTGAGTCAATGACTTGCTTGGTATTAATAAAAAAAAATTGCTTGAAAAAATAACTCTCGACCAGTTGGGTTGTCGTGTGATGACCAATGAGGTGCTCGGCGAGCTCAGTTTGAGTGAGAGGGCGCCTTGAGAGGTTTGTAGTCAAAGTCTGGGTGGCTGAACTGGCGATCCGGATTTATAAGCAGGTATTGACTACTAAGCTGGAGTGGTTTACTGAAAAACCATCAGAATTCCCGCGATACCATAGCTCACGCGTATAGTCGGTAGTTATGCATCTCAAAGGAACTTATTTCAAGGTCTTCAATCAATTTTCTCTCCTGCATCGAATCACCAGACCGGTTTGCAACAAGATCATACCCTGCTCTTGTTGTTTGGTGAGTATCAACACGGACAGTATTAGGTCTCTGACGACTTCGGTCACGCAATTGATCACGTGGAAAATACGCCCTGGCAAGCACTTGACAGGCCTTTAAGCACACCACGAAGCTCCATTTTTATTTTTTTAAATAATGCGTTCACTTTGGTCTTGATGACCTCTGCATCGTTGTTCCCATCTATTGCACATTTCTTCCTACCATCGATTCCTGGTGATTTATTCTTAAAGTCCCGGTACTTAACCCTCTACGCGATCTCTTGCTTGGCCCTATTTCCATTTATTACGCACTAGTAGTACTATGCTGGGTGCCTTGATTCTTACCCTTCATGGTGCGCTTAAAAGTGTGCCAACTGCTTGCCAAGGTTATTTTTCCACGGGACCAATGGCGAGACCAAAGTCGCCAGAGACCTAGTTTAATGATTACCGTGGTTTCTGCAAGTGAGGTCTAATTTGGCAGACCTCCGTAGACCTTTATTAAAGTATGCCGTACAGTGCTGCATCACCCATATTTGCTCTATCGTGCCCGTATCCAACCAGTATTCGAGGTCAAATGACGAAATTGATGATGGCTGAGGCCCATCCAGATGTTTATGACCAAAACAAAAAAAAGCTCACGTCAGTGCCAGCCCTTACTTTATTGTCACTTCACGTTAGCGTGTTTCAGTGGCAAGTCGGAAAGTACGCTTTACTTGAAGAGGATGATGAAACAGCAATTCTGAAAGACGCATTCGCGCTTATCGACGCCTGCGATGGGTTTACAAGTGAAGGAGATAGCAACAACGACAGCATGGCGTTGGGGGAAGTTGACAAATCCAAGCTACTCTGGAGGTCAAGAGGAAAACCGGGTCGATCGAAAAATAAAGTGTACAAACCAGTGACCAAAACGATGCGGATACGACGCCCAGAGACGTCTTCTACAGCATTCCAACGTCGCAAAAAGGCTGAGCTTGGTGCTCTGCGTGCTGAAGCGGCCGTACTGGAGATTCGCCTCAGTGGCCTAAAGCAGAAAAATCAAAACCTTATGGACCAAGGTTTGAATAGAAGCGAAACGGACACGAGGAGTGGACATTCTGACCGTCAAACGGTGGAGCTCAGTTGGCTCGAGGAAGCTGTGAAGCAGTACCGGTGTCGCCTGGCAGCTGAACAGTGTAACAGAACATTGAGAGATATTTTAGCGACCCAAAGCCGAATATCTTGCGAGCTTCGAGCGGTTTTATATCAGCGAGATGCTCTCAAGGTGAGTACGTATGCAATCGTGGCGATTCTTGCGTGATAATTGACTTTTTGACTTGATTCATTATTCTGAAGGGAATGGATGTCGTATTTGGAGATGCACAAAGATGATATACGAAGCCAGGTTACCAATAAAGTTGAGTTGAGTACGTAGGATAGGTTGGAGCGCTTGTGATTGATCGTTATCGCACGTTACCGACAAACAACTTTGGATATGTTGTTGGCCTCAGCTAATCCACAACACCTTAAAATGAAGGACAAGCAATGGGATCAAAGGTTAGCGCCTGGCTTGACACTATAATCAAGAACTTTCTTAATTGTCATTTACTATTTTAAGTGTTCAATACGTGGTATAGTTTTGTAAGTGCCTACTGTTGTCCACAGGGCGAAAATGTACCATCAATGTTGTCAGAAAGGACAAACACCAGTGAGTTTTGTCCATGATTTAGCAACAAAAAAATCCATTTAGCTTGAGTTCATAATACACTTTACAGATCTATTTGCCAGGAGTATCTGTTATAGGTGACATTTCGCAATTAAGCTGGAACGAATACAAACAAGTATTTTCTGGGCAAACATATTGTACTTAAGCTAGTTTTTTCTTGGACATAAATTGCTGGGATTGTCGGAGCATGCGCAGATATGTGCGCCGGTCGCCCTTCTTTCATCCCGCTGGATCTCCACAATTTTTAGGTATAGCGATCCTTGTTGGTGCAAAAAATATATATCGCGTTAATGACAGCAACGACAACAGTTGGGTTTGCATTACTGTAGGCTGAGCCTCATTTAAAGTGAGCAACCGAGAACCTAAAATCTCCTCGAATATAGAGGCGGTTTAAACTGTGGATCATGACGAACACGAATGGTTTAGAATGTGAATGCACTAATGTGCCAGCGATAGAGGTGGGATTGCTGTAGATGCAGTGATTGGAAGGGACCAGTTGAAGCGGCACACACGACAAAGCATGGGAGATACATGTACATGGAACTTTTACTACGCGACGGGCAGCTACGTACTACTTAATAGGGATCTTTCTGCAACTGCAATCGATCTGGACCCCGGGTGTTTATGCCGGGTTTTCCATCACATAAACATATATGCAAACACGGAATCCAAAACCGCTCACTTAAATATGTTTTTCCTGCCTTTCAAACAGGTATGTACTTTGACAATAGTGATATTAGTGTATGTATTGATTGAGAGTAAATGAACAGGCGTTGCGTGTTCGATACTGTACTGCATCAACTTGAGCACTCATACATACAAAACGCCCAGGTGAAACACGTGCACGTGCAATGGTAAAGAATCTTGCCTCACCGACCGTTACAAAAACGCCGAGGGTGCCGGTTTTTGGTTGGTATTCCTTTGCTGTGTCCACATGGCTTGTTGGCGTGTGATCGAGTGGAATTAGTTTGATTTTATTAAACTGTTGATTAGTGTTTTGCCGGAGTCACCATCCCTAGCTCCACTAAGGGGAGTGCCTCTTCTACTAGAGGAATGGCGAGTGGACTACAGATTTCCCCGGCAAATCCACAAAGGTGGGACCAATAAATCGTCCGAGTTTACAAAGTTTACACAGGAAATCTGATCCAGGAAAATGTATTGATTTATTAGAAGTTTTAGCAAGAATATGACGCTCTCGCCATTTTGCATACCTCGATCTTCTGCCCAATTGTGAGGCGGACGTACGTGCTCTTGGCCTCTTGTCTGTTCTTGGGTTGCGAGGGCATGGGGAAATTAGTAAATGGTGGCACCTTAGTACGTGTAGGTAGGCACTGCAATACATTATGTTCATCCTGAGCCTTTCATTTGCTCCTGTAATGCAGCAACTTGCACATGCATGGCATTTCCTGCGAGATGACCAATTTCCCGCCAAATTTAAATTAATTCAGTACGCGTCCTGTCTAGTGCTGCCCATCTCTCTTCGCGTCTGACCACTGACTGCACGAGGAATATCAACGACTGCAGTTGTGGATTTGCCGGGGAATTCTGTACTGCATACAGTACACTACACTGTAGTATTCTGCAAAGCAATGTTTACAAAGTGCTGACGAAGACACAGTACGTTTTCACAGCAACGCAGGTTGTAGTATGTATTTAACCCAGTAGATACCATGGGCGGGGTATATGACAGGGATGCTGAAGCTGCCTTGGGGTCAGTAGGCGTTGCACTACGGACGAGACTCACCGAGACGCACTTCTGAATTTGCACAACTAAGACCACGTGAAGGTACTTGTGCAATGGCCTTGCTGCCTCAAGACGACGAGATGGCGACAGTTGAGGAAGTTTTTGCGTTCATCGACTCGTTCCAGTGGGATGACGAACGGCCCGACCAGGTGAAAACCGCTGACCCACCTTTAGACTCCTCATTTGAGCCTCCAAATCCAAAAGACCGAGGGATGCCTATGCCGCTTAAATCGGTTGACAGTGACCCAAAACCAAAACCCAAGCGCAAAAGAATCCGAACTGGTTGGAGCTCGTCAACCGGACTTCAACGACGCAAGCGCGCAGAACTCGAGTTCCTTAGAGCACACGTCAAGGAACTTGAAGCCTACGTGGAGCAACTAAAGCGGGGTGACTCCAGGTCCAAGGTGACTTCAGTCAAAAAGGATCACCTTTCTGTCGACTGGCGAGAGGTGGCATTGGAGGAGTTTGACGAACGGAAGAAGTCCGAGGAGACCAACCGGGTCCTCAAATCAATCCTAAAACAACTGGAACTAGTAGGTCAGAACCTGAGTTACTAAGCGAGCGTATCCATTGCAGTTTTATTCACACGTAACCTTTATGATATGTATGTGTTGATCTAGTCGTGCCAGTCTTCGTGATCTGCCGTACACACTTCATTTTTAGTCACATAGATAAGATCCTCATAGTACAGAGTTTGCTCACGTAAGCTCAAGCTTACGGAAACACAGCAAGCCAATAAAACCGCTTATGACAGCACATTTTGATTTCTAAACTGTCAATACATAGTCATTCAGCAATATCGTGATCACAGCCTGCAAAATGGCGAAGCTTACCTAGGAAAAATCGTTATATACATGCAGTGGCTTTTTCAATCAGTTGACATAGCAATTCAAATGTGTGAGAAATGCACCGTTTTCGTATCCTCAAACCAGACACTTTGATCCAATTATTATTTACTTGATTCAAAACAATAATTGAATATATATTTAAATAAGTTTTATCCAATCACCGACGGAAAGACATTTCGTTGGTTAAAATGCGTACAATGATGGCTGATGATTACGCCTTGCAACGTTTGTGTTTGCCACTTAATCTAGCGGAATCGACCGTCATTCCTCAATTCCCAAAATGAGCAGCATTTTGGTCACTGATACCGACGAGTCTGCGACGCTGGAGGCGACTCTGGCCTTCCTAGACGCATGGGAGGCCCCCACCACAAAGCGCAGCTTCGATCCGACCGTCTCCAGCTTCCATACACCGGCTCGATGCCTCACGCCGCAGCAGAAGCAACAAGACCAACACTCTCGACGCAAGAAGCCTCGCCGCAAATACCCCAACAGCTCGTCCACTGTGCTGCAGCGCCGAAAGAAAGCGGAAATCCTGGCGCTACGGACACAAGTGGAGCAACTCGAGTTGCAGTTGACGCAACTTAAGCAAGTCCCAGCCGCCAAGTACGCTCTGAACGACGTTGAAGGCGCGCTCCTAGTAGAACCAAGTCATTCGCCGATAGGTTGGGCTGAGCAGGCTACGGTGCAGTATAGAGGCCGATTACAGTCTGAAAAGACCAATATTAAGCTGAAGAGCATTATGGCCAATCAGATCAAGGTCAGCGAAGCTCTGAGAACGCTGCTACAGAAGACGGCAGCGATGGAAGACATGGACTTCTTGCACCCAGATCCGTGCAAACCATTGGCTGATGGACTAAGCAGCATGGAACTGCTGGAAAAAAGGGTGGAGAGTCTCTATTTGGATGCTGATGCTGTTTTTAAGCCCGAGAGGATGAACTCGATCAGTGTGGAAGCGATGGTGAAGCAGAATCAATCTCTAGGCAAGACGGTGGAGATTATTTCCACTACACCAATGCTGTGTCCATTGAAGGTGGCGAGCGATACGCTTTGGAACTGGTTCTCTCTGGCCAAGGTACAGTATGCAACATTTTTTTTTTTAATGTTTTTACTTTTACTAAGATTTACTTCTTTTTTTTTTTACAATACAGCCCGTGCGAGAGCGGACAAACATTCTTGAGAGAAATTATACGCTTTTATTGGAGAGTCAGATCGGCACGTTGGAATTTAGGAAACAGAACTTTGTGCGGAGATTCGAGGAGACCGACCGCGTGGTGGTTATTTGGGCCGACATCTTACGGTTACCGAAGCACAAGTTGCAGTTTCGTAACCAGACATGGATGTTCATTACGCCGTCGGCGGACGCTCCCAACGACGCGTCGGTGCTTCGAACATTTCAGCAGCTGTTTGTCGACAACGATGAAAGTCATCAAGTGCAAGGCGCTTCCTTCGCTGAAAAATCGGCTTTCCAGGAACTCAGCAAACTCTACCGCCGCTTTCTACAGTCCCAGCAGAGAGTGATGCTGGAAGAGACTCGAGCCGGTGCAAATGCATTTGGAATTACTGTGTAGCGTAGCATTTGTGTGCATTTCGATAATTTCGCCCTCGATTAAGACAATTCCCATAAATTTTGAGCAACTCATAAAAAAAAACCAAATATGTTAGAAAGGTCAAATTGGTGCAACTGCCGTAGCTGACAAGCGAAGGCACAGGTGAGACCATGGGACTTGGAGAGTGTCCCTGAGGGAGTTGGCATGCGTCTCAGGAAGTGTCAGACTGAACTTTACTCACTTGGACCTCGCCAATCGCTGTCGTCAGCTCCATTCACGCCAGTTTTGGGGTCTTCATAATCATGTATGCGCATCAACATTTTGTCATCGTAATCATGTCAGTCAATGGACAGCACCACCCCATTGTACGATTAACGCTAGGACTGCTATTCTCCTCGCAGTTACCAAAGATGAGTTTTTCAGCCAAGGAGGAGGCTGCTATGCCGTCGCTGGAGGAGGTAGTGGCTTTCATTGACTCGTGGGATTCGGGGAACACCAGTCCGGGCGACGTCACAACCAGCGAGAGTGAGACCGACCGCTCTCCATTCAGTAAAGAAGACGTCGATTCTGTGCTGCTAGACTCGCAGGATGGTGTACTACAAGATGCAAGTTTTCTACCAAAGGAGACACTAGAACGCAACAGCAAGAAACCCATGAAGAAGAAGCGAAAGAAGACTCCAGGGGCGTCCACGCGACTGCAGCGGCGTAAAAGGGCAGAGATCTTGGCCTTGAGCGCTCTGAGCGAGCAACTGGAAGGGCGATTGGAGCAACTCAGACGCGATCAGGACGAATTTGACCCTTCAAGTATGTTATTGACTCAAGGTGGGTCTTCCTGGTCTGCGATAGCTGCAATTCAGTTCCAAGAACGACTCCAGTCCGAAGTGATTAACCAAAGACTGCGCGCTGTCCTCACGGAGCAAATGAAGATCAACAAGGCGCTATGTGACGTCTTCCGGGCGCAAACTTCTTTGGGCGTAAGTGAATTGTTTGGTATCATTGTGTTCGATCAGACTAACACATTATTTTTGTGTATTCAGAACTTGAATGTATTTTTCGGGGAACCAGGACCCCCGGTACAATATCCGGTAGCAGACAACTCTTGTGCTATGATCGGTGAGCTTGAAAAGAAGGTGGAAGGCTTGTATCTCGACTCGGCAGCGGTATTTCAGCCCCGTGGAGTCCCTTGCATCAATACTACTTTGCACGTTAAGCAAGAACAAGATCGCGGCAACGTTTTCGAGATCACTAGTACAACTTGCCTGCCGTGTTCAGTACAGGAAACAAGCGCAATGTTCTGGAGAGATTTCCTGACAATTCATCAGACCAACGACAAATCCTATCACTTCGTACGTAGTAGTTGCAGGGCTGCATCGTTAGTAATTTTTGTATTTAACTTTATTTTTTTTGTACAGCTTCGGCAGCGCAAACCGGCTTCTGTTGAGAAGAGTTTCAAGTGGGTACTTCGCAGTGAGGCGACAGTGAGGGAGATCAACGGGTTTGCGTTCGTGCGAAAGATTGAAGAGCCCAACCGTGTTGTTCTCGTCGAGGCAGATCGCTTTGTACTGCCGACGGAAGGTCTTCACTTTCGGATTCAACGCTGGACCATCATTACACGTTCCGAGGACGGATCAAGGCCCGGGTCAATTGTTCGTACGCTGATCCAGCTCCGCGCCGAGTACACTGAAGAGTTCGCACCCACGAAAAATGACCTTCAACAAGTGAAAGATTTAGTGCTAGGAACTCTGAGTTCGAGGTTGCGAGGATATCTCCAACAGCAACAAGGGAAATTTGAGAGGGAAGCTGAGCAGCTCCGCATGACCACAACTGCAAATTGAAAACTCATTAGTAAAATTGGAGATATAAGGTTAATTGCAAGTTATTGTCTTCTTATGCTTGAGCTAGCTTTGCGACCTGGATTGGACCCTTGAGATTCGGTCATGTTCCCATGCTGTAAGAAGTCACAGCTGCGTGTATCTTCCAGCGATTTGAGGCTGAGTGGTGGATCGTACGAGCTTAGATGGACTAGTGAAAATGGTGGTTCATCCGCTCCTTGAAGGGTTCACACGATGGTAGCCAGCCGCCCGTCGCCCGAGTTTGCATCTGTATGGTATGTTTATCGTTATTCGCTGGTCCATTCATTTATCTTGAAGAATCCAAGTAAAACAGTCTTTTACAAAATGTACAGTAAGAAACACTGGTGCATCAAGTGATTTATCGAGTTGCTGCAGCCGTCGTTTGCAGATCTCATCAACACTTTTCCTGTCGACACGATTGCCACGACAATGAACACGAAAATACAATTGGGTACATGTGCATTAATTACAATAGGTAATGTGTATCGGATACCGTAGATGTACCAATTCGCTCCTCCCGCTGTACAGGACCAGGAGTTGCTGGCACCGTCGTGAACTTTCGTTGTCCGCCTGCAACAGGACGCTTTCTGATGTGGCCAACTCTTTCAACAACCGACCAACTTGGTCGGTTGTAAAGATCGTAAGGATCCATCTCATATAGACATCGGCGAGCGAGCGCATCAACCTGATGAGCTTCTTGCTTGATGAAGAAGAGAAAATGGCGACCCTCGAGGAGCTCTTTGCATTTATCGATTGCTCGGATGGGCTCGCTCAACCTACTGAAAATGGAGCCTGCGCATGCATTACCGAAACCAGCGAATCCCCTATAGTTGTGGATGAAGAAAAGTCGATCCCAGCTTTGCACACCGATATGAGTGTGCAGAAGAAGACCCCGCGGCGACGTAGAAAAAGAATTGGATGGAGCTCATCTACAGGCTTGCAGAGGCGCAAGCGAGCCCAACTGCAGTTCCTCAGACAGCATGCTCAGAATCTGGAGACGTATCTGCAACAGCTTAAGACCTCTCTCAAACCACCTTTTGTCTGCCCCACGATGGCAACGCGAAGTCAGTGGAAAGAGCTTGCAACGGCCGAGTTTTCGGAGCGACTTCGTTCGGAGGAAGTCAACCGCTCACTGAAGACAATCATGAACAGCCAGTTAGAGATGAACAAAACGTTGAAAAGTGTTTTTGAAGAGGGTATCACGTCTTCAGTTGATTTCGAGGGATGAAGTTCGTGACTTGAGAGCAAAAAACAAAACACCCGCATGAGGATACTGCAGCAAGTGTTGCAAGACGTTTAAAAACTCGATTCGATCTTCATCAATCTTACATGTTAGTCGAGGCGATTTTTTTGAAGCCTTATGAAGTGAATCGACCTGCATGAGGCACTATTTGTATTCGATTACGATGATCACCGAGCTCAACATGAGAATGCTATGTGGCCTCGGAAGACAACAGCGTGGTCACGCTACACCTCGAGCTCTACATGTAAACATAAGTATACCTGACGTTAATCGATGGAGGTTCAAATGCAAGTTGTAGTGACAACCCCTTTGCTGCGCGATGGCTGGAGGATAGAGTTCCTGTATTCATGTAGTACCGTTTCCTGGAGCAAAGATGTACGTCAAGACGTCGCGATACATCGACAAATACAGTCAATCTACTTTACCGGTAGATCCAAGAGTCTGGGGCCAAGTGATTGCTTCGTACAGTCACTATACTATACTATAGTGTGGAACATGATCATATAGAATGCGTATGTACATGTGCGATCTGTTGATACGGCAAGGTAGACGAAGCGAGTTTGTGGTTGAAGTATTCCATTGCTGTGTCCACTAGTCGTCGTCAATCAGCATCGTAATCTGGTTTGTCCTCGTAAACATACCCGAAACTTTACCGATTGTGTCATTCCAAGTGATTGGACGCGTCCATTTTGTTTCGAGCGAAACGTGTAAACGTTATGGCTTACAAAGAGCGACTGGCGTGAGGAAGACGTGGTCGGAACGACAGGCCGCAATAACGATGCATGTAATACTCTGCTTGCGTCCATCTTCGCAAATCTGAGAGAATATAGCGCCCGAAAGAGTGCAACTTGGCAAGGTCCACAGCTCTTTCGACGGATCCGTATCTACACCTTACGGGATCTTTGGCAGGACCAACATATGCGTCGTGAGGCTGATGAACAAAATACCAATACATAGACGTGTGAACTAGAGAAATCGTCGTCATTTCTTCGGTGGTACATGGAAGCGGATGGTTGTGCCGAAGTGAAGGGTGTCCGTCGAACAGACCTTAGCAGTGGGAAGTTCCACTCACTTGAAAAAGCGCACGCTCAAGGACGGACCAGATGAGCAGCGAGGTACAAGAAGACGTGGAAATGGCGACGTTGGAGGAGCTCTTTGAGTTCATCGATTGCTGCGTGTGCCCCGACGTCTTCACCGAGAACATCGACACTTCTGATCCTTGGTGTGAGCACGCCATGCTGCCACCTCTCGAATTCTCGACAACTACTGCACAAGGCTCACCTACGACAATTGACCGAGCTTCTCGATCACCTGAGAGCAACGCGCCGGCCACTAAGCCGAAGCGTAGACGAAAGCGAACGGGCTGGAGCTCGTCGACGGGACTGCAGCGACGTAAGCGCGCGGAGCTGCAGTTCTTACGGGAACACGTCCGTGACCTCGAAGAGTACGCGGAACGACTCAAGAAACGAGTTGGGCTGACGAGTGTAGAAGATGAGCTAACGGTCAATTGGCAGGAAATTGCTGCAGTTGAGTACGCGGAACGCCAGAAAGCGGAGGATCTCAATCGGAATCTACGGAGAGTCATGGATAATCAACTGCAGCTTAGCGCGGCATTTAAACGTATGACAGACCAAAATGCGCTTGTTTGAATAATTGAAATACATAAATGACCATTTACCATGTCGTAGGCAATAATCGAAATTATTTGTTAGTATAATGACTGGACTTTTCTATGAACTTTGCACCACTTGGCCAGAGACAGATTTCATCAGGTAGTCGGTACCTCTACGACTACAGCGTTGTGTCGGTTCTATCGCGCAACTTTGGTGAAGCAGCTACTCTAAAATAAAGCACACTAAAAACCCAACAAAAAATGCCACAATTTTTAAGCGTCGTGTTTCCGAAAATGTTCGGTCCATCCTCCCTACTTTTGTGAACTCGCAATCATGTGGCCTGCATAATCATCAACATTTCAGCCAATCCAAACGTTTAACCAACATTCCATCCAATCACAGTGCGTGGATGCAGAGGACCCCATCATAATACCAACCCACTTCCAAATTCTCAATACACCGCATAGATGACTGACGTGCTGCTAGAACCCGAGGACATGGCCACCGTGGCCGAGGCTTTGGCCTTCATCGACGCCTGCGAGGGCCATGTAAGCCCCAGTGTCAGCGGCAACACAAGCAGCAGCGACAGCGGGGGCTCCCCACTGCCCGATAACCAGAGTTTGACTGTATCAACCGACTTTCCCAGCGATTTGAAGCCGCAAAAGCCCAAACGTAAGCGCCGATCAAAGAATCCCGCGGGGTATTCAACGCGATTTTTGCATCGTAAGAAGGCGGAGATGCAGCAGTTGAGGGACGAGGCAGTGCGGCTGGAAGCTCAGCTGGAAAAGCTGAGAAGCACACGAGTAGTGGGCGTTGGAGCCCTTGCGGCTCACGTCTCTCAGTTAAAGAAGAAGGCGAACTGTAAGTGGATGGAGGTGGCCATGATCGAGTTTCAGAGACGACAGAGCGCCGAATACACCAATAGGAAGCTCAGGGCGCTACTGGCGAATCAGATGAAAGTCGATGAAGCTTTACGTGGCGTTGTGATGAATAATTCGGTCCTGGAGGTACGTATTTGTCCGATTAAAACTGAGTTTTATGTGGCTAACGCAATTTTGTCTTTAAACAGGGAATGAACTTTCTGTATAACAAGCCACCGACGTCGCGACATCCGCTGGCAACAGTCGACAATAGTTCAGTGATCATGGCGGAGCTGGAGAAGAAAGTCTCGGAGATGTACTTGGAATCCTCGCTATTATTCGATGAGGAGACGGGGACTTTACGTCTTAAATGCGAAACGCAGCGCCGAGTCGATCCGCAACTTGGTCCGACAGTGGAAATCGTCACTAGTGCGCCTCTGTCGTGCTCTCTAGAAGCTGCAAGTTCTTCACTCTGGAAAGAGTTGACTACAATCCGCACGTATCCGGACAAATCGTTCCGTTACGTAAGTTTTATACAATTTTTTTTTTATTGTTTTGAACTGTTATCTAACGACTTTTACCTTGCAGATGCAAACGGGTACGCCGAATGTGATGGAGAAGAGCTTTGATCAGATTCTACGGGGAAATGACGGGGCGATGCCAGTAAATGGCTTGCAGTACATGAGGCAATTCAAGGAGGAGAACCGCGTTGTACTGGCCCGAGCGTACAGAATGCTCCTGCCCACCGACGGCTTGCAGCTTCGTGCAAACGCGTGGACTATTTTCTCTCGGTCCAAGACGAATCCTGCTGAAGCCTCGGAGCTGCGATCTTTCGTGCAGCTTTATATGGAGATCCAGCCAGGATTCGCAGCAATCCCCGAGGATGTTGCGTACTTGAAGGACGTCGCGTTCGAGTCGTGGAGTATGAAGATGCGAGGCCATGCTCAGTATTTACAGGAAGTGCTGATCGAAGCTGCGTCTGATGCCCCAGCGGGGACATCCCAACTACTGCTGAAATCGATTTGTTGACTTGGAAATCGACGTCTCGCCTTGTAATACAGTAGATGTCGACAACGTTCTATGATTTTTTTTTTTTTTTTTTGGCTAGAATATGTATTATTATTAATCGGATGAGTAAGAAAACTAAAGTCAGGGTCCACGAAATACGAAATACTACAAGTACGTTTACGGTCCCTGTTCTGGTACTAGAGATTCAAATCGTCTGCCTCATCGATCAGTCGGTTTTGTAGAAGCTGCGATTCCTCTCGCAGTTTCAAGCCCAGACTCTTCAGCACGGTAGCGTGTGAACTACAAGTGGTGTTCTTTGGATCCATGTAGATTTGCCCCCAACCTTGGACAACCGAGGTGTTTGGAGACGTCCCGGATCCAGTGATAACCATGTAACATTGGTCACGAAACTGCAGCTCGTCACTTGGCAGTGTCATAATACCAGATTTAATGATCACAACACGATCACGCTCTTCAAACTTTCTTAAAAACTGGAATCCCTGGACTTGCTTCCTTGCAGTCACTCCCTCGAGGACCACCACCCAGTTCTTCACGTACGAGTGCGATAGCCTTCCTTTCAGCTGTAAACAAGTGTAGCGAATTAGTGTTACCCTTGAAATATTTTGTTGGAATTACAGAAACTTACGCATCGCGCGGAAGCACTGTTTGTAGTCAACTCTTTCCAAACAAGACTAGCGGCTGACTCAATTGCACACGGCAAGGGAGTAGTCGATAGCATCTCAATGCTGTGTCCGTGCACATCGTCCCTCTTTGTCTTCATGCTCGCGCTTACTGTTGTTGATGGCACTGAAAGAATCTGCGACGCTAAGTTGTGGTACAACTTCGCTACTTCATGATCGAGTTCCGTGATTGTTGCTGTACAATATTTGGTGTCAGGACGTGGATCGTTCGCTTCCGTTGGAGTGGTAAACTCATTCTCCTGCAGCATGCAAACCAGGTTAGAATCTGGTCAGTTTTCCACGTAGAGTATTTTCTGAAATTTGTACCTGAGCAAGTATTTTTCTTCCCAGAATTCGACGTAGCGTTACGTCAAGCTTTTGTTGGTGTGAGATGATCGACTTCAGTTTGCGATTAATCTCCTCTGAACGTTGTCGCTCTTGATACTCGATCGCCGCTGCTTTTTGCCACACAGACTGAGCTGCTTCACTTACCATATTCATGCATCTTCCATCCCTAAAACTGGCTCGCCATTTCTTCAAACTCACAGCATAGACCTCAAGCTCTGCGATCCGACAGCGTAGAGCCTCTATCTCAGCTTTCCTCCCCTGTTGTACGCGTGTAGAGTATCCCAGCTTGTCGGCGCTCCGCTTCCTTTTGGAGCCTGTCACGCTTGATGTCTTGTCCTCGCTGTCACTGGATGCCGATGGAGGATCGTGATGGGCTTCATGGCTACGGTTTCTATTGGGCACGTCAAGGTCTTGGCCGGGGTCGAAGGAATCGATGAACGCTATCGCTTCAGATACCGCGCAGAGATCTTCAGTCGGAGTTTCCACGAAGTTCATTGCTGCGTTTGTAGGGGCGTTTCAAGAATGGCTTTGCTGTGAGTAAAGCATATAGGCGAGGCCTGGTTCTGCAAGGATTCGAGTATTATTAAGGCTCGTAAACAGAGTCTTTCATAATCTCCGTAATCATGGTGATACTTGAAAGCTTTACCGGCCGGAGTCAGCACTGCAACTCAGGATAGACTGTCCATTCATTAATCTACGGGATAATTTAAAAAACTGTCCCGTGAAATTTAGGACCAGGATCGGTAGTTGTGGAATTAATACTAGGAGTATAGTTGTACTTGTATAATATTGTAGTACAAAACTAACAAGTAAACTTGGAGCATTCGTGCCGACTCACTCGACAACACCATCCTGGATTCAATCCACGCCAGAGCTCCGCTTGCGTAGAAATGCACAGGGTGTAGAATTCTCTATATATCCGTTGAAGTTCGGGGCTTCCGTCCACGATGTTGTGTCAGTATTCACTACTGCGTTCACCCCCTCCTGCTGACTGTCGTATAAAAGCGGTTGGCGTACATACCAAAGCCAAGTAACTCGCAATGTCGTTAAGTGGTATTTATCATTTTCCAATCGATAATGGTACGGTGAAGTAGTAGCAATAGCAGTAGTAGTAGTAGCAGTAGTAGTATTAGTAGTAGTAGTAGTAGAAGTAGAAGTAGTAGATGCAATTGGTAGTGGTTGCGGCAAAGGCAGTTGCTTGTCACCGTAAACGTGTAGAATCATAATCAACCATTCGCGGTCCAGTTTCGCCACATTATCACTATGAGCTTCTGGGAGACAACGAGAGAGGATGAAGTGACCGTGACCGATGCGATCGCTTTCATCGATTCATTCGAGGCGAGTGTGGACGAGAGTGAGCACAACGGCGTCAGTGCTGATGTATCACCCCCCCGAGAGCAGCATCTCTAGTTCTCAGACGCGTCTGAATAGCATATCCAAGCCAAAACGAAAGAAAAAGCGCAACCCACCTGGGTACACAACGAGTTTGCAGCGACGCAAACGCGCAGAGCTACAGAATCTGCGTGATGAATCTCGAGCACTTGAGGATCGACTGGGCGAGCTCAAGCGATTGAAACCAGTGTCACTAACCTGACAAGAGCAGTCTGTAGTGACTACCCCTCGAAAAGCGCAATGGAAAGCTCTGGTTGAGTATGAACGGGATGCTCGTCGACAAGCCGAAGAGGCCAATTGCAGACTCAAAGAAATCCTTTCTCATCAGTTGGATACCAACAAGAAATTATGCCGCGCTCTGCAGAAACAATCGCTCTTGCAGGTGCGTTTATCATATATCTACCCTGTGAATCCTTCTGCTGTATCAACGCGGTATTTTGTGCGCAGGGGTTTGATTTCGTGTTTGGAACCACGCCAGTATCGCCTTACTCCTTCGCAGCTTTTGAGAACAGCAAGGCAATCACTGATCACCTGCAAGTTGTGGTAGATAATCTCTATCTCACGTCGGAGTCCTTGTTCGAGCCATTGGCGTCTTCATCTACCGGCTACAGTGTGCGCACCACATTTGACAAAGAACGCGGGAAAGTAGCCGAGATGAAGGCGACGACTCCTGTTGCATGCTCGATGGAAGAGACGGCCAAGTCGGTGTGGTTAGAGCAGAATGGTCACCAACCAGACCCACAGAAGTGGGCAAGACGGGTACGTTCTCGTGTCAAGTACGGTTAATGCAAAAGCCTGATAACTCTCTATGTTCCCTGTATAGATGCTCGGTCGTAAGCCTAATTCACAGGAGAAGAATTGGATCTTATCGGTCACGTACCAGTCCTACGTCAAGCACGTCAAAGGCATTCAGCTCCTTCAGAAATTTGAGGAGCCGATACGTCAAGCACGTCAAAGGCATTCAGCTCCTTCAGAAATTTGAGGAGCCGAACCGAATTGTGTTGGCAAGGACAGATCTCATGACACTCACAACTGAAGGATTGCAGTTCCGCGACAAGTGTGTGACTGTCATTACTAGATCGGATTCAGATCCATTGAAAGCGTCGATCGTTCGCATTTACGAGGAAATCTACATGGACCCTCAAGGAGGTTTTACAGCTCGAGCTGAAGACCTGACGTATGCACAGGATGTCGTCCTAAAAACGCTCAGTTGGAAGCTTCACAAGTACTCACTCCGACTTCAAGCCGTGCTGGTGAATCAACTTCCTTCAACCACTCAAAAACAGTGCTGATACGTCACAAACGAGTGACTTCGATTTCATCTGTATGGAAAATACATGTTGCTTACCTGCGTTTTGTATACAATAATCGTTTTGGAAGGACATCAAATTTATGAGGCTAAAATATTTTAAAATTCACAATTTGTATCACCAGAATTAACAGGGTATTTGAAAATATGTGGGTTGTTTGCTGTTACGACCTCCATAAACACCTGTCTCCATAATCTTCTGCCGCTCCCCACCCCGCACGTAAACGCCACAACTCACACAACATCTCTTCCATTTCCCAATTTGCAGTGTCCATCCAACCCAGCAACCAAGTCCCAACTCATGAGCCTATACTGCTCTAAGAACGAGGATTTCGTGACGGTGGAGGAAGCCATCGCCTTCATTGACTCGTTCGATCAACTCTTAGGCGACAGCGGCGACTCGGACGTGTCGAGTACAAAATCCATTACTCCACCTGCCAAAAGTGCTTCACGCAGAACAAACCCTCCCCGGAAACGCAAGTCGAACCCTCCAGGATACACAACCCGAATGCAGCAAAAGAAAAAAGTGGAACTTCAAGAGTTGAGGGACCAAGTTCGCGAACTCGAGGAACATGCCGAGCAACTCAAAAGACTGCGACCCAACAAGCCAACACAGAGAGTATTAGATCCTCAGATCGCAGAGCAACAGGCCAAGTGGGAGCAGATCGTCGCAACGGAGTATGTAGCTCGACGACAGTCCGAAGAGACCAATCGTAAGCTCCGGACGATCTTGGCTCACCAAGTCGAAGTGGACAAGAATTTGCGTCGTATTCTGCACAAACGTTCCCTATTACAGGGAATGGACTTTGTTTTCGGGAACGAACCCACATCGAGGTACTCGTTCACTGCGTTTGAGAACAACAAGTCGATCATAGATCACTTGGAACAGAAAGTGGCACAGCTTTACTTGGACTCGGAAACCGTGTTTCAAAGCGGACCACCGCCTTCTATCAGCTGCAGTATGCAGATGAAATACATCGAAGCTTTCGGCATGACAGCGGAGGCCCTGTCAACGACACCCGTACCGTGTTCGATGGAGGTGGCCGCTGATATTTGCTGGAAGGACTTGAGTATTCCTCGTCCTTGTCCGGAGAAATGGGCACGTTGTATGAAAAGCAGGCAACCGCATTCGCACGAGAAGAATTGGATCCTCGCGCTGCAGTGCCAGTCGTACGTGAAACAAGTCAAGGGCGTTCAGTTCCTGCGAAAGTACATTGAACCGAATCGTATCGTGATTATCAAGGCGGACATGATGACGCTCAATAACGAAGGACTGCAGTTTCGTGACCAGACGTGGACTATCATCTCTCGTGCTCAGACTAAACCGAACGCTGCTGTGGTGCGAGTGTGTGAGCAAATGTTCTTGGACCGAGAAGCCAGTGAAATAGCAACCTCACGTCCGGAAGATATTGACTATGCGCAGAATGTAGTGCTTAAGAATTTGAACTGGAAGCTGAGGGAGCACACCACACACCTACAGGACCAGCTGATTGAGGAGACGCAAAACTTTGGGATGGTACCGGCAGCGTAGAGAGGCTTAAGAGCACAGTGTAGCTGCAAAATGCAGTATAGTTCACTGCAGCACTTAGATTTACTTGATAATCTCTCCACGAACGCGGTCTTGGTGTAGACGATTTAACCTATTACGGCGTGGACTCTGAAAAAGTAACCCGCTACGTACTTTGTAATTTTTGCAACATTTCTTCGACGGTATTGTCATGTAAGATTTCGCGCAATAATTATATATGTATTGAAGAGTTGAACTTATAATTGTATGTATTGGAGGGTAGCATTTTTTTTTCGAAAACATTTACAATGGGACGAATACAGGATCAAATGAGAACTTGACAAGGAGCATTGGATCCACGCTAGCTCTGACACGTGTTTCAGAGAACAAAGCAGATCTTGTTACTTCAGCAAAAAAGAAAAAAAGACAAATCGAACAGACTTTGCCAAATTGCGGAGACTACATCCAGGTACGATACTTCTCGTAAAAAAGTAAATTTCCCTTGACGCTGAACTACTATCAGTACGTAGCCAATTTCAGCGAGTTCGTATATTGCCGTCGGGCGTAATTCTAGCGTTGCTGAACACGATCGAGGTATCCTCGAGAGTATCCAACTTTTCCATCAATACTGGTACCATGTCCACGTTGTGTTGGAGGCTAATGAGTTGTTCATCCTCCAAATCCCAAGTGAAACGAACTCAGCTCGGGAAAACGAAATGTTGGTCTCTTAATTGCGCAGCAATTTGGGCGGATCGACTTCCTTCTCTAGCAGAAAAGAGATGCGGAAACACAATCTGCATTGTCAGTGCTGAAATCGTGAAGCTGGTGGTGGAAAAGGCGATGAACGAGCGCTCCGCAGTCCTCTTCACCTGCTTTAACTCCATCCTTACAGCTGGAAACCACTGCGTGAAGAGATACCAGTTCGTCACCAGTGTATCAACGCCGCTTGAGGTGTTACTCAAAACATCAGGAGCCATCGTTGCATATAGAAAGCTCAGGTCCTTCGAATTGATAACATCACTATCGATGATACCACACTGAAAGGTACGGAAGTACTCGGCAACAACGACCCAGACCGTTAAAGTTCGAGGTGGCCAGAGTATGTATCGATCACGGTAGTGCTTGAGTTGAATAATTTCTGCACTCAATTGTCGATTCGAATTCTCGAGCTGTTCTTGGTATTTTCGTTTGCGCTCTCGATATTGTCGACTATAATCACGGTTGGTGAGCGTGGTGGTGAAATGTTGTTTCTTCTCCGTCTTCTTCGTCTGTCCTTGAGATGATTGGTGGTACCTACCGTCTCTACCATATTGGATGCAAGCATCCGGTTGCTTGAAATCTGAATATCGGCCGTTTTGGGTTTTGTGCTCCATGTCGGCCTTAGCGTACGGACAAAACGGTACGTATTGTTGTGTCTGATGCTGGCTGGTGTCTTCAACAATGCGGTACAGAGTAGAATAGAAAGATCGAGCCTCATCTCCGATTACTCTGTCGCTTGATGTTTGGACGCCTGGAGGTTGGAGTGTGATCTGCATGATCAGTTGGTTCAGCGACAACAAACGAAATGAAGACACGTTTGGAATATGTTGTTACTACAAGCAGCAAATTGAGAACTGAATTGTTGTGTTGCCAAGCTTCGCACCCGACCTCTTACCGAGTAATCCGAACTGCCCCATAAACTACTAAGCTGTGGACAGGAGAGGCGATTGGGTGTTTACGAAATGTGTTGAATACGGTGTTTTGGTTTTGTCCATCATATTACAATAAGTGGAAAGGCATAATGTTTATCGTAGGAGTCGACGACGTGGCAGTTTGTATTCAATTTATTTTCTTTTGTATTGCTCCATAAAAGAAAATAGGCTTTTTAAATTTATTTTATGTAGTAAGAAGTTGGTAACGAAAGACACAAAATACTTTTTTCACGGATTTAACGACTTTTAACTTGTTTTTTTTTACAACAATGAACGGACAAATAAAGGATACAGTTCTACCTCCTAGGACAGTTTCAATACCCTTTCTACGGACCGTAGATCTAGGCGGAGTTGGCGAGGGAAAAGACCTCGCTCAAGACGCTCCTTACGACCGTGAACGCTGATCAGATTTTAAGTGGGGTATTTTGTGTTTGTATAACTCCGTATTGTAAAGGTTAGCATTCAGAACGTGGAAGCTGCGTACTGAAGTGCGCGTTGGCTCCACTTTCAACTGATAAAGCCTATTCGCATCTGACAACTCATTTCGTACACGCCAGTAGTGTCGAAGATAAACGACACCTAAGAGGATAACCAGATGCTCACACGCCAACCCGCAACGGTCCGTCCAGGTGGTCTTTCCAGCAAAGACAACCGAAAGATCATGCCCAACCTCCGAATTCGAAGTTCCAGCTCTTCGGGATCCGATATTGCCCCAGCCGCAATATTCTCCCTGTTCTCTCCATCTGCCCTACAGACAGACGGTTACGCATACGGGAAAGTGGTGGACGGTGGCGTAGACGACGAAGGAATGATGCAAGTATCGCGATTGAACAATGGGCGATGGGCATCGCTACCAGTGCTGGCAACCTCACGGCCTCTAGCGGAGATCCAAGGCCGCGAAGTGACCGCAGATGAAGCCCACAGTGGCATCGGCACCTACGTCGGCTGCTGCGTGTGTATTGCTCGACTGCTACCTCAATCACCTCGGGTTTGGGATTATGGTGTCGTTACGGATTACACCTGGGATACCAACGCAGCCGCCGGCACCCTCCACATCACTTTCAGGTCGGAATCGGAGTCAATCCCCTTTCGTGAGGATGCAATCGAGGTTTTACCAATTCCTATTTACGCTCTGCGACCCTGTCTAGGCATTCCGGTTCTGACACTAATAGAAACGGATATGCGGAATCGACATGCTTCCGTCCTCAATCATTTCATGGGGACAGGTTGCAGAGCAACTCGCAACTCCTCCAACATTCTACGCAAAGTGGGCGCCGTACCAGTCGAGGAAGCGCAGCATATTCCTCTGTTTGACAGTTCTTCTAATTGCGTCCGTACCGTGTCAATTAAATACGCTCTGGACTTCTCATATTTCTCCGGAAATAATCGTCGTCGCCCCCAACGCGTCACACGGGGAGATACAATCTTCAGTGAACCTCAAGCTCCAACGGCAGCGGTACAAGAAGAGCCACCAACTCAGTCTGATGCTGCCGTTGTCGATTATCTTCCTGGCCAGCTCAGTGATTCCGACGACAGTGACAGTAGCCTATCCTCAGAACGTCGCGGACAGGAAGTGCCGCATCTGCGGGAGCCCAAGCGCGTCCGAGATGGATTTGGAACGGACAATGACGATATTCAGTCACTTAAGCGACTTAAAATGTCGTATCTCAATAACCCTTCAATGCTCCGCAGCATCGACCAGCTCATCGCTGTACGGGAATCGTCAGTTTCGTCGGCAACAACCAGTGATCTGGTGGGGTTTGCAACCAGCACTACCAGTGCTTCAGCTCAATTTCGCCCATCCGCTACGCAACGGACAGTTCACCGCCAGCTCGTTAACGGTACGTACGCTCTGATGGATGCTCAGTTACTCCTTGAGACTATTCAAGTGCAGCACGAGCAATTTTCGTTCTTGCTACACCCGTCTATCCTGCGCGCCATGTTCAGCTGGGAGTTTGGGCTTCGTAGATTGTCAATTATGCATTTTGCTCCAGTTACAGAATACTTTCGAAGAAATTACTCGTCCACTCACGACATGACGGATTTCTCCAGATCGTCGGCACTACCGCAGGCGTTAGTTCCTGCTCACCTTAGTGATGTTATCGATGCCCTAGACTGCTTAGGTCTCGCGGTGAATATGGTTTTTCTGCCGTATGTCTCTGACCTGGTGGATGCAGCACGGAAACTGGTAGTTCTACTCAAGTCACAGCAAGGATTTACGTCTGCCATTGGTAGGGGAGAGCTGGTTCACTGGATAAATGGGCGACTGGAACGGTTCCGTGGAAGACTTGCACTTCAACACTTGGAGGAGGCGAAGGCGGTTCGCCTCCAGTTCTCTGTCTCTGATCCGTCGTTTATACGGGTCACTCAGATTATTACGGCGGCTTGCGTACAAGATCTTCGAGCTCAGCAGGTTCTACCACAGCAGCTTACAGCCCCACCTCAGTCGCGAAAATCAACGAGGGGGAAAGCAGCGTTACCCAGTCAGCGCGTCCCAGTGCCACAGAGTGTGCTTGACGCTCTACCGACCCTAAATGGAAAGTCGCTGTGCATGCGCTACCTTTCGAAGTCGCCCTGCCCTAGCCGGTCGGAAGGCTGCTATGCCAAGAAACGCGGCCACTTCACTCCAGAATCACTACCTGACATCGTCTTCGATTTCATTCAACACAACTACGGAGGCCTAAAGGAAGAATTCGCTGCAGTAAAACGTGAGGACCGTGATATCTGAAGAAGCCAGGGAGTAAGACACGGCTTATTTACTCCCCGGCCAGAACCTAAGCCACCGGACGTAGTGCAACCTTCAACACAGGTACCTTTGGAGAGTATTCTATGTCGAGAGGAGCGTTCTTTCACGTCAATAGCAGAATCTGGTAACTATTCGGTCGATTTCCCCTCCACGGCACCGGAAGCAAGAGGGGTCGGAGCTGATGTGATGCCACAGGTGGACATCGGCGAAGCGAGATCGACAGTCATAGGAATACCAGCGCCTCTTGCGCAACATGGCCATGAGTACCAAGTCACTCATCGTGCTGGCAAGCATGCTCGTCAAAATGACGACACGCATTTAGATGCGTCCGAGTCACGACAACTGGAGATGGCAAAGGCGGCATTCCTCCAACGGGCTAATTGTAAGTACATGGCGACGTTCACGGCACGGCAACGATTGCTAGATCTGCATCGGGATCGCGTGGCGGCAGCGGTAGCTTCAGCGTTGCAGCACCACGGGATTCAGCTACCGTCAACCTCTCCACGAACAGTTACTTCTAACGGGACGATCACTCATCTTATCGACAGAGAGAAGCAACGCGCGTACAGTACATTTATACGGCGCTCGAAAATGCAACTTCCCGAGTTCGTGCGCCTCATACGCGGCGAAACCAGCGAGGACCCAAGACCTAATAAAGGGCTTGAAATTCCTTCGCACGTTGAGGGTTGGAGCTCGTCACTTGTGGGATGACATTGTGACGCACGGGGTCCGACCACGGTGGAATTCTCAATTTCAACAACAGCGTACACCACCGCGCAACCATGTTTCAGCTACTTCTTGCCTTAATGAGCTCGTGGAGAAGATACGGAAAGGACAGGACTCCGACAAGTACCTTGTACTGGATATTGATCTACTGGCGGAGCTAGAAGGGATCACTTGCAGCTTTTTTGGGGCGGTGGAAAAATCTTCTCCCGACACCTCACATCAAGTTCATGCAATTCACGATCTGTCCTATCCAGAACTTGCTTCGGTCAATGACAATACGGCTGTGGATGATTCCGTCATAGTGACCTACGACGGTCACCAAGCTTTGGCTCGTCGAATTTTGGAAGTCGAAGATGAATTCCCCGACGACGCGATGATATTGTCTGACAATGTCAGGTGCATTCAACCATATTCCAGTACATGAAGACCACGTAGGGCGTTTTTCGGGTACGGTTCCTGAGTTAGGCATCTTGGTGATCGATCTGTCCTGTCCATTTGGCTGGCGGCTCTCGCCGCAGCACTACTGGACGGCTGGAGCAGCAATTACGCACCTTTATGTGGCATCAGCACCAACATGGCCTCTCCAGCCTTCGGAAGCGGCAACACCGTTCGATTGTAAGACGTGGTGCGATGACCATAACCTTATTGAACCATACATTGGAACTCGGCTTGGAGAAGGCAATCTCGCTCTACGTGGGGCCATCGTCAGCATACTGGGTCCAGAAGCGATCAATGAGGAGAAGTTTACACTATGGTTCAAGCGAGGTAAAGCGCTTGGGTTGCTGTGGGATATCCCAAATGGTTCACTGGCAATGCCTAGAGACAAGGTTGCCAAGGCGCTTGGTCGAGTCAACGCACTACTGGAATCAACGGTGACTTCGCGATCGCAAGTGTATAAACTACTTGAAAGCTTACGGCACGTCGTCACGTGTGTTAGGTCCGGCACACCGTTCTTCCAGAGCTTAGCTGCGCTAACGTACTCCACGAGACGATCAGTTCAAATTCCTGTCACCGATGCAGTACGAGATGACTTGAATTGGTTCCGGATAATTCTCGGTGCTGCTGATTTGAACTCGATCCCGCTATCTCGTTTCACGAATTCGCAGCGGGTCGATTTCGATATCTATATGGACGCCAGCAATTATGGATTGTGTGCACTATTTCCTGCACGGCGGGAATTTCTTCAAGTGCAGTTCGACGAAATGGAACTCCAAAGCATCGAGGAATTTCGGTGCACCGGAAGCGGCGACCTTGGAATCAACCTACGAGAGCTCATGAGTGCGGCATTTGCGTCGATAGTCTGGTGTAAATATTGGACAGGGACTTCACGACATCATCTAAAACATGTCCGCTTCTGGATCGATAACAAGGCTGCTGTATCATGGAATAATCGCCGGAGCAGCAGGAACAAAACAGCTCAAACTGTACTGCGTATATTGAGCGTTCTCGAAACGATAAACTCGTTCTACACGACGGCTGAGCACATCTCGGGCGCTGACAACACTATGGCGGACGCGGATCGCGAGTGTGGCAAGCAAGTTCCTATTCCGACCAATTTACTAACCTTTCGTATGGGTGGAAACAGGTGCCGATCCCTCCTACATCAAGGAAACTTTGCAGAGTCTGGGAGCACTTCTGCGAGCAGGGGCCCTCGCCGAATCATCTCGCACGCACTACCAACGATACTGGAAGCAGTGGATCGACTGGTGTCGCTGGATGAGCTATCCTGAATGGCTCTCCGATCAAGACAATAACGGAAACGCTTCGCAGCTGGGATCCTTCGCTGTGTTCCTGTGGCGTTACGGAATGAACAAGTCTGCCCAAGGAAACACTTACTCTACCATCTGTGCAAAGCTTTGCGCAGTACGCTGGTATCACAAGAACAACTTGGGGTATGATCCCGGTGATAACGCCAGCCACTCCATCTTGTTACGTGGAATTCGCCGGTTTACCAAACCAGTCGCCAAGCAATATCCCCTGTCGGTCGACCTACTGAAAACGATTACCTCCAGTCTAAACCTCCAGGAAGCTCGCTCCCGCTTGCTCTGGGGTGGTATTTTGCTCGGCTACTTCTTCTTGCTTCGCAGATCCGAATATCTGTGTATCGGTAGCAAGCACCACGGCTATATCATACGACTCCAAGATATTTCATTATACGACAAAGCTGGGCGTATCTGTAGATCCCGGACAGCAACTCCAGTGGGTATCCGGCTGACTGGCGCGAAAAACAACCAATTCGGGCGCGAAGAGGTCAGATACCACGAAAAATCGGGTGACGCAACAATTTGCCCGGTCCTCGCAGCTCGGTGGATCTTCAAGGGTGCCAAGGAGTTTAACACGAGACCCGAGCAACCGGCACTCTCAATTAACCATAACACGGCAATTACGGCTAAGGAAGTCGCGAACGTGATCAAGAGAGCAGCAGAGGCACGTGGCATGGATTCTACTCGCTTCTTGACGCATTCAGTACGTATCGGCGGGGCCACGGCGCTACTCAACGCAGGAGCCGATAAACTCGCCATCAAATTACTAGGAAGGTGGATGTCCAGCGCCTACGAAGATTATCCGGTATTAACAGCTCAAGGAACACCAGGGATGTCGCGCCTAATGTGCTAAAACTACTCGCCGATCATCCTCCGCAGTCAAGAAGAGCTGGATGCAATCTGGGGTGCCACCACTCCTCGCCCGCTACAGATACAAATACTACCTATTTCCCCACTCGACTGCGATAGTTGGAAATGGGTAGTTTCGCAACGGACGAAGAAGCTCGAAGAGAATCAAGTCCTAGAGAGGCGTCCGTTTCCCGATCACACGAGAGGTAGTGAAGACTAGTCATTTCCAGTTTTTAGCTGTAGCTCTCACCCACCACTCCTCGCCCGCTACAGATACAAATACTACCTATTTCCCCACTCGACTGCGATAGTTGGAAAAGTCATAAATCATGATTAGTATCGTCGATTTCACTATGTAGTGGTATGTAAATGGATATTTTCATGCTCTGGCGGGAAAATAGCTTTTGAGACTACCGGTAGGAACGAGAAAGATGAAACCAACGCCGACCTCTAGGAAGCGTAGTAGCGTTAGTTTCAGATTTACACTGTTGAGCATAAGTCCTTCTGTTTCAAGCCAGCCAGCTTTCACCACTCCGGAACATAGTTCGACTAGTGCCCCGGCATTCCTTCACCTCTCACCAGAACTGGTGGGTGCTGAGTTTGACCATCCATTTTTTGCAAGGGTGACCCATGTCAATGAATCCGACGTCTGCTTTTAAAGTCTTGAAGGGGGGGGGGGGGGGGTGAAATAGTGTCACGAGAAGTTGCGTTGCCACATTTAGTGAAGGCGAGAGAGGTCAACGCAGTCGGAGAGCTCTCGCTCCTACGGCTTTCTGTGTCTGTCTCATCCGATGGACGCGTTATCTACGGTCAGCCGCTTCGACGGAAGGCCTTAACATGCTATAGATAGCGATGGACGTTAAGTCAGCGCGTTATCTACGGATCTGTCGACTCTGCCACTGATTGTGGCATTACTACTTCAACATGAAGAGTTTAGCTGTACTGATTGGAGTGATGAAGACTTGGAGGAGCTAAACACATCGATCCTAAACCGCGTACTTAGACACCATGGTTCAATGGCCTCGAATGACATTAGCCTTATTTTGGATGGCCTGAGGTGTACCGAGAGTTTACCTTCTGGATCGAAGATATGCCACTGGATCGACCCACAAACCGGAGAGGGAACCGAATTTTCACTTCAGCATGCCATCGACTGCGCATATTTTGTTGATGGCGGGATGGCGGAGAGCGTCGGTTCATCATTTTGCCGACCACCCGAAACCCAAGAAGAAAATGAACCAGAACCTCTTGAAGAAGGCAGTGCCTATTCTTATATGAAGCAGCAGAATTATTTGACCCATTTGTCGCGATCGAGGAGACAGAAAACGAAGTGGTGGCGCCGCGAACCGCCGATGATGAAGAAAACGAAGAACTTGCTCCTGCCAGTGTTGCCAAGCGCCAAGCCAAGCGCGCTCACAATCCTCAGGGACGGGGCTTTGGCGAGATAACCCTGGAAACCATGCAGAAGCGTCAGAGACGGATTTTCCAGGCGGCGTTTGACAAGGATGCCATGATTGTGGAGAGCCTCGGAGACGACTTGGAGCTGCTAGAACGTTTTCTTTCCATTCGCCAAACTAAGCATGCGCCGTATAACCCCGTAAGTGCGGCCATTTTTACCGCTCCAGCCGCTACTACACCCTTGGCCCCACCCAGAAGAGCTGAAACAACGTCCAAGTTTGCATTCACTCCTCACACAGAGCAAGAGTTCTTACACGATCAGATCACCTCGGTAAAACACAAAAGTAAGAACCCTAACCTGTATGTGAGTAGCTTGGTCCGGTCTGGTGCGGTGGAGTTTAAGGCGATTCCCGGTGTGTGCACGCGGCTGTACGACATTCGATTTGAGTCCAAGGGTCTATCCATCATGCATTTCGCTAAACTCTCTCAAGATGAGCGAATTTCTTGGCTACATTCCGGTGGTTCAAATTTTGACAATCTATCAGCCACTGTAGAATTTACGAAAGCCTCACCAGCAAGTTCCATCGATGATGTGGTAGCTGCAGTTCGAGTTTTGCTGGGGTATTCACGTGAGTTCTGCTGCAAAGCACTGATTAACCTCACCGAGAACATCCTGCGATTCTTGGATAGGACACTCAACCGAGTAACGTGGGATACAAGTGAACTTCCGTGCGTTGTATACTGGGTATATGATGTGCTAGAGGATTTTCGCGACGCTGTGGAAACTGTGGATGATCTTACGCTTCCAAGACTCCGGTGTTCGACAGATGATCGGCTACTTCCTGTTCTGATGTTTGTCAAATTTCATCGGCAGGTGGCCGAGATCAAACAACAACAGTACACTACGAAACCGTTACCGGTACCCTCGATCGATCCTAGAGTGCACTCGGTTTTGCAGACACAAGCGAGAGATAACGACAAGAATCGGCTTGGTCGCATACCGAAGCAAGTGTTGAAGCGTTTACACACACAGATTGACCCGGCGCCTGGCGAATCTCGTCCACTGTGCATGTGGTATCTATCAAATCTGGGCTGTACAAGTGGCAATGGTAGTTGCCCCAGTGAACGCGGCCACTTTGTGCCAAGCAGCTCCACGAGGTGGTAAAAACTGAACTTGATAGGCGACTTGGCGGCTTGAAGCCAGTGTATCAACAGCTATGACTCCTTACGGACGGATCTGCGGCGCGTTTGTCCTTGTATACTGAGTCAGCGCTGTGTGTAAATCAACGTGGAGTCACCACTTGACAACAGCACGGCGGGCGTCACAGTGACAGCGGTAACCCAACCGTGGTGGAAGACCAACCATCTCCAACCGGCAGCATTGTAGGCGAGGAGGGTACTGCCAGCGACATCTTCAAGATCACCAGTCATTCCGAGAACGAGAACAACGTAAGGGTGTTTCCCCAGTTAGCTATAGGCAATTCGACACGAAATGTGGAGTTTGCTGTGGGCCACGCGGACCGCGACGTATCGAATTCCGAAAGACAAGCAACTCTAGTACCTATGAATACGAGTAGCATGACGGTCTTTCCCCAGTTAACCAGAGGGCAATCCTTAGGTTCGACTGTGGGCCATGCGGACCATCGTTACTCAAGATTCACTCTCAGTCAAGTGACATCAACTTCTCAGAGCAACCTTGTCTCACTGTCATTACAATCGGCGAAGAAAGTCCGTGTTGCGTTGGAGGAGGAGCTACTACGGTTCGAATGTGAATTATCCAAGGTGCATCGACAAACTGGGTTCAAACGGTCTCCAGCTGAAATGGCTGTGCCGAACACAATCGACAAAATCGCAGTTGAATCCCTTTCAAAACTGATCCGTGACAACAACATGACCTTAGCGCAGCCAGCCAAATTCCTTCGGGGCGAAGATCTGAACGACGAAAGACCAAACAAGCACTTAATTCCGATCGCCTTCGAATGGTTTTGACTGGATGTCCTCATCTGGTGCTGCTCATTAAAATAGTCGAAGGTGGAATTGATGTGAAGTGGAAGCAAGAACCAAAACCCCGAAGACATCCACCTCAAAACCATGGATCGTGTCATCGATACCTGACAGCAGTCACTAAAGCGTTACGGGCGGGTCAGGACTCGAGACAGTACATGATAGTGGACGCAACCCTTTTAAATCAGTGGCGTGAAGTTGTGTGTAGCCCACTAGGTGCTGTGGAGAAGAAGGATGCTGATCCGAATGAAGAAGTTCGGGTTATCCATGACCTTTCCTTCCCTCGCGGCGATTCCGTCAATGACGCCTTTCTAGTTGAATCCGTTCCGAAGGTACGCTACGAGTCAGTGGTAATGATTGCACGGCGGATCGAATTTCTTGCGGAAAGCGGTTTTTTCGGGGCGGGTTAAAGTTCTAAAAGGCGACGTTAAGAGCGCCTTTCGACATCTTATGACTATGGCCAGCCAACTATTTCTAATGGCAGCGCTCGTCTCAGAACTTGAAATCCTCATCATCGATACACCGGCACCTTTTGGATGGTCAGGATCACCTCCTTGTTACGCTCTGTTTTTGGTCGAGCCATTTCATGGTTGGTTGGCAACAAGTCACCAGCTTCTGTATCCATATCCTCAGATGCTGAGCCATTTTTTGCTTTTAAGTGGGTTGATGATCACATTCTCGTTGAGCCCGACGTCGGGGACAGGCTCCAACTGGCTGAAGCTACCCTACGACACTCAATGCTGGCTGTTCTTGGCGCCAGATCAATTAACGAGTCCAAGTTCTCAACATGGAGTACGGAAATTGTAGTGCTGGGTCTTCAGGGGAATACCGATCGCAGGACAGTCTCCATCCCGGAAAATAAAGTTTTGAAGGCACATGGTCGGGTGCAAACCATGTTAAAACGCGGTTCTTCGGCAAAAACTGAATTTTTCAAGGTACTGGGATCGCTTCGATATGTTTCTAACTGTCTTCGTACAGCAAAACCCTTTTATCAACGTTAGCAGTCTCCGTGCACGGCTGCTCCTCGCTTTGGAAGGGTAAAATTGACGACGGGTGCACAAGCTGATCTTACGTGGTTTCAGCGTATCCTTAACCACGGGTGTTTAGCGGAGCTACCCTTGTCAATGTTCGGAGATTTGCCGACACCGGACGTGGAACGCTATATGGATGCATCAAACATCGGCCTAGCGGTGCTGGATCCAGGGTGTAATTCGTTTGACCAGATAAAATTTGACAAAGAGGAAGCGGCGCTGATTAATCAAGTAGAAGGAAAGGAAGCCGAATTCTCTATTAACGTTAGGGAGCATCTCAGTATTGCGGTTGCCTTTTGGACATGGGGGAGCAAGTGGCACCACCAAGCACAAGGGCGGGCGATTCATGTAAAGTGCTGGAGCGATAACTCAACTGCAGTCGCATGGTGCAATCGCCTTCATGCAGACAATGCATTCAGTCAGGAGATTAACCGCGCTATTGGTCTAGCTGAAGCATACTTCAACTTACGAGTTTCAGCCGAGCATTTGCCTGGATCGACTAACTGGATGGCTGACGCGGCTTCACGAGCCTGGACCGAACCTTATTTTTCACAGTGGACTAATTTTTCTTGTCGTTGGCTGCAGACACCGGTTCCTCCACAATGCCGGAAACTCTACACCAACTTCTCGAGTCACTTCAGTTTCAATCACTGGCCACAACATCAGCGACAAAATACTCGAGTACGTGGGAACAATGGACAAAATGGTGTGGCTGGCTCAACTTCTCAAAATGGCTACCAGAGGAACCACAAAAACATTCATACGAACTTGCCCTATTTGTGACTTTGTGACTTAATGTTGGCGATATGGATGGAACAACACCTGTTCCGGAAACTCTGCCTCCACCGTGCTCGCGAAAATCAGCCATACTGTGTGGTATTATTGGCGATCTCTCGGCTACACCGTCGAATTATTGCCGAACCACCAACTCGCCATCACCGGAATGCGGCGATCTGACCCTTCCACCAACCCAAAGTCACCGATCACGATAGAGATTCTCCAGTGCCTGCATTCCAGCCTCAACTTCAAGGAAACCCAGCACCGAGTCATTTGGGGGGCTTCGGTACTGGGTTCCTTCTTTCTACTAAGAAGATCTGAGTATTTAGCAGTGGGTTCGAATGTACTTCCTTACGCTATGGGG